CTGCTGCAATTCTTCTAGGCAATGTCTTGTACTTTGAGATCCCTTAGCTATTGTGAGGTTCTTTTTCTCATTGCAGGCAGATAATACCTTGGGTGCCAATCTTAAGGAGAGCCCCTTCTTCCTGTGATTTCAGAGTGTCCTTACATAACACAATAGCACGAGATACTTAGCAGTTTTGCCTATCTCCTTTTCCTTAAGTCTGCACTCCTAGACCATGACTAGACCATGTTTAACATCATAAAGAGATATACAGAAAGTATGACATAATCCATACATGATAAAAGCAACATAAATGGATACAGCATAACACTGGCTTTTCAAGGAGACCACACATGCCATATCAGTGAAACAAACACAAGAAAACCTGACTGACACACCCTGTGAATCCAAGCTTTGGTGGGGTTCATAACACCAAGACAAGGGTTTTTATTCTTGCTTGTGGACTCTGCATTCTGATGATGCTGTCCTCACAGTTTCATATTTTGTGGGGGGGAAACTTACCCTAACCATTTGTTTTGACCTTTGCATTAGATATAGAAGAAAACCCGTTTCTTTTTATAATTATATATAAATATATAATATTATAATATGCAAATACTATATTATATTTTACCTGCCAATTTACATCAGAAATAAAGCCATACTTAGATAATAAGAGCATGCTCTAGCAGTTAAAAAGGGAGGTCAGGATGAAGAAGGCCAAGGTCCTCTTCCTTACTTTTTTTTTTTACTCAATTTGTGATCTCTGTAAAATGGGTTACAAATGTCCACCCCTCTCTCAGGAGAATGTTTGATGGTTAATTCATTGTTTATAAAGGATTTAGAATTTTTGTTTTGAAAATGCTAGAAGAGGAGAAATAATTATTAATAAGCCATATCCAAAGGCCAACAGTCATGTTTTATTCTTTGATTCCAGTTTTATTCATTTCCCAATAGCTCCAATGGAATTTTATGTGAGTAACAAGTCAGTGAGTACCTCCAGGGTTTGTCCACGAATAGTCATAGCTCAGTTAGGTCCCAACATATTAACTGGCTTTATTTTCACATAATACATGTTAAGGCAAATCTATGTAGCAGCACAAGTTACACCCCCAGAGGCTACGTAATGGGTGTTTTGTTATTGCACACAAGGCACAGGAAAAGGCACAGAATTTGTTTTCTTTTGTTTATTCACCTGCACCATGAGCATACAGCATCCTTGCATACTTTGTAGACAAGATGAAGGGGTGAGGCATAACAATATCAGTGATGCTAGAAATTAGGATTGTACAAAGCTTCAGTCCCTGATTCAATTTGGCAGAGATTCAGCCCAATTCAGTGGCCAAATCTCCAAATCCGAATTGAATCAGGAGACCCTTTACTCTCTCTGAATTGAATCAGAACCCTCTGAATCGATTTGGAAAGATTCAGCGATTCAGACATAGAGACAGCTTTAAATGTTTTTTCTACATACCTCAAGGTATCAGGCGGTTCATGAATGCTGCAATGGTGGGGCAGATGGAGCATCCCACAGGAGCACAGGGGCTCCCCAGCATGCTCGGCAGCAGACCCAGAAGTAAACCAGAAGCACTTCAGGTCCACTTCTGGGTCCACCAGGGAGCATGTGGGGGGCACCCCCACACCCCCTGGCTCAGTGACTGGTGCCTCCTGAGTCTGGGGGAGCACCTGGGGTCCCCCCACATCTGATCGCTGAGGCAGGGGGAACATGGGGGGCCCCACGGCATGTTTGGCGATGGACCCAGAAGTAGACCAGAAGTACTTCTGGTCCACTTCCGGGTTCTCCGCTGAGCACGTGGGACCCCTCCTTCCCCGCATTCCTGTGGGATGCTCCATCTGCCCCATCATCACAGCATTCATGAGCCGCACCTGGTACCTTGACACGTGTAGAAAAAATATTTAAAGCTGTGTCTATGGCTGAATCGCTGATTCTCTGAATCAGCATTGAATCTTCAGATTCGGCCAGATCGAATCAGGGACAGTGATCTGAATCAATTAATTGAATCACTGTCCCCGATTTGGGCCGATTCTGAATCGGAATTGAATACGGCCTATTCAGCACACCCCTACTAGATCCTCCAAATTAGAATGGCAGGCCGTGGTCACAAATTATACAAAGAAGACAGTGGCAGTGTAAAAATTCTTCATGGTATACCAAAGTATCAGAAGTGGACCACAGACCAAAAAGTCTATCTGTAGAGAGAGAAGTCTAATTTCCATGCCTACTCAAATCTTGACACCTTTACTCTTTTCCCCAGTTGATTAGCCATTTACTGCCAACTGTAGTAGAGGTTTTTCAGTGTGGATACCTACCCACTAGGAACCAAACTAAAACCATTCAATTCATTTCATAAGACCACTTATATTCTCTATCACTACAACCTGTGCTCTTTCCTGCCCAAGGCAGGGGGTTGGACTCGATGATCTAATAGGTCACTTCCGACCCTAGAAATCTATGAAATCTATGAACCTTGGTTAAAACTGGCAACCTAAAGGTAAAAATTCTATAACCCATAACTAGTCCATAAGCTGCCCACTCATCTATATTTTTAAATAGCTACATTGAACATGTTATGATTTTGAATCTAAAACAACCTATTGTGTTTACTTCACATTCAATAGCAAATATTCTGCTTAAGACCGACATTGTTATCTCTCAAGTGTTCCCAGCCTTGAACATCAGCCTCCCAGAGCCAAGCTAACACAAGTTCTAAAAATCACTTTAATGAGGTACTCTGCAAAACTACCAGCCAACTCATCAGGCCAAGTTGGAAGATTATTGTTAATTTTCCTTGAAAAGTTCATTGCTTCCATATCTACAATTTCAAACTCTCACTTAATAATAAGATCTGTCTTCACCCAGTTGCACTTAAATAGCTCTTTCTGTGTGTATTACAGATGCTGCACACACACTGAGAATAAAGTAATAAACATCAGAATATTATCAGGCTGATACAAAGTTCTGACAGTATTAACAAATTATTCTTACTGTTCAAATGCCATGGAGCAGATGATTTTCACATCATTAATTATAGTGATTGCCAAGAAATGTCAGAAATTTTATTTTTTTTAAACTAAATGTATGGTTTTAGAAAATAATGGTTTGTTAAATAGGAGTATATTTAAGACTGATTATCCAACTAGTATACTTTTAGAGTTTTAAAGCAGTAAATATATCAGTGAAATCATGAAATAGTATCTTCACATTGCACTCTGCTTTTAAATAGATTATGCAGTACAATATTATGAACATGAACAAATTACGGTGGCTTTACTTGTACAAAGATTCAATTTAATTTCTTACTTTTCACTTTTGAAGTGAATGAAAAAAAAACCTCACTCTCTCTCTCTAATCTTTTTACTGGATGGAAGTCAGACTGGCATAAACAACCACTAGATAAGCCAGAGAAAATTCTGAGAAACTGAAGACGACAACTATAAAGCTGTCTCTCCCTTTACCCCTCAAGCCTCAACATGGCTGGGGGGAAAGGAAAGTTGCTGGAAAGTACATGTCAGGAAAGAACATGTTAGGGGCCCAGACTGCAGCTCATAGCACTGAGGAGATCTGGAACAGAGGTACATAATATAAGATAGGCTCCTAGGGCAGGCATGGCTAACCTGCAGCATATGTACAACATGTGGCCTGGCCAAGCTCTGTGTGTGGCACGTGGCAGATCAAGAAGGGGGCTTGCAGCACAGTAGCAGATAAAACAGGGAGCAGAAAGCAGAGTAGCAAATGGGGCAAGGAGCAGAGGGCAGGAAGCAGATATCAGAGCAGCAAATCACACAGGAGAAGGGACTCAGAATGACACTCAGGGAGGGTACAGAACTTAATTTGTGGCATACCTGCCAAAAAGGTTGGCTCCCACTGCCATAGCAGGTTGTGTACATCTTACCCCAAAGGATATAATATAGATAGGCTTCCAGAAGCTTGCCTAGTTCTGAGAACAACCACGGATTGAGAAGGTTAAAAGGTGGCTTAAAATCATCTTGGGCATGTCCACACAACCTAAATTTAGGGGTTTTTTTACATTGTGTGCTGTGAGCTACACAAATGCTGATCAGCTTAGTGCTAGCTTGGAGTTTGGAGCAGTCATACCTTCGATTTGAGCAGTTTATCTGTGGGGAGTGAACACACCTTAATGGAACAGGAGCTGGGTTGTGCAGATAAAGAGATAATCCTGCCCTGGAGTGGAATAACTTTGAGCCGCATAATGAGTGCTTTAAGCCATTTTAAGGTGTTAATGTGCAGACAGTCTAGGGGCTAAGAGCTTCAGGAGCTGCCAAAAATGCCCATGTAACAAGGCCCTTAGAGACCAGAGTGCTACTGTGAAGTACACCTCACCCGCTTACTCCAAGCCCCTGTCTGCCAGCCCCCAAAATTAGGCAATATGGCTGCTTTAGAGCAGCATTTTTCAACCCATGGGTTGCAACCCAAAAGTGGGTTGCAGAAATATTGTAAAGGGTCGTGGGGAGGTCCCAGGGAATAACACTGTTTCCCCATGCAGGCTGCAACGCTGGAAGCCTGCATGCAGCCAGCATGCAGCCAGAGGCCTGGCAAGCACACAATATTGTGAGAGCAGCCCCAGGAGCTGGAGAGGAAGGAGGGAGCCAGATGCAGCAGCCAAAGGAGTGGGGAAGGGGAGAGAGGGAGAGACAGAGAGAGAGAGACTATGTGAGTTCGGGCCAGGTTGTGAGTTGTGGCAAGCTGAGAATTATGCTAATGAGTCCCAGTGTGAAAAAGGTTGAGAACAACTGCTTTAGAGCAGCCTTGAGTATGTGTCAATATGTACAACCAAGACAGAGAGCCTAAGAATGGCTCTGGGTGTGTGTTCAGCAATACTTTGAGGTGACTGCATTGCCTGACTCCTGAGGGTCTGGACAGATGTAATTCTCAAAACATTCCACATACACTCTAACCCCCCAGACTCTAGATGTGCACAGCACTTAAGACTGGCTTAAATTTCCTGGAACTTTTCAAAAGCTCCCTGGGAAAATCAAGTACTATTGGAGTTGGTCTTCCACGTACCAGCTCACTATTATGTGGGGTCAAACAGCATGCTGCGCACAGTGCCCAGTCAGTTCTGCAGACATCCCAAACGACACCTCTCCTCAGCCCCGACACAGCACATGCAGGGAAAACGGCTGCTCTGGAATGCAGCCAGGACTGTATGATCCAGAAGCCTGCTCCCAGGGTCCCCCAACACAGGGCAGATCGCACCATGGGAGCAGAAGCAGGGCCAGTTTTTAAATCCTTAAACCGGTTAAGAACCCCCCTCCTCCACTCTTAGCATCTGCTCCCTTCCCCTCTATCCTCAGCAGCATGCCCCCTCCCATTTATCCTCTCCCCCATCTGCTTCTGCCACCCTCACTATCCCCAGCTTATCCAAGTGGTTAAGGGAAGCACTCCTGCCCTGCTCCAGCTGGGAACAGTGGCAGTAGAGGCAGCAGTGAGTGGGTTTCTCCTCTCTGCCTAGTTACTTCAGGTGTTCCTTTCCGGTCTGGGAGCAAGTGTAGGGAGGGGGAACTCACCCACGGCCACTGCTGCTGTCCCTTGCTAAGCCCAGCTCAAGCATGGCAGAAGTGGCTCTGGAGCATGCCCCTTGCCATCCCATAAGCAGGGAAAGTAGCACTGGCAGGCAGAAGAGTGGGGAATGGGAGGGGAGGAGGATGTACCATTGAAGATATAAGGGAAGGCAGAGGAGAGATTCTTACCTGCTTTGGGGACTGCTGCTCCCACGGTATGGGCAGAAAGAAGAGGCACAACTGTGCCACTGCCTTCCTTCTAGATCTGCCCCAGCCAGATGTGCGACCCCCTGCTTGTTGTTCTCAGGGGCTGTGTGCTCTGCACCACCATCCCCCGCCCCCAAGATCTCCACAGCTTTTCAATCCCTGTCTTGAAGGCTGCACTCTCAATTTCACTTCCCTGCTAGAGGCCCAGCCTTCCAGGGTGCCAGGCTCATCTGGGGAGTGGAGGGATTGCAAGGGGTGGGCGGGGCGGGGGGGGCATTGTGTGGCTTGTCTCTCCCTCATCCCAAATGAGCCTGGCACCCTGGAACAGCACTCCCTCCCCTTCTCCCCACCATAAAATGACAAACAGGTGGCCACACAGCCCCCCAGTACTTAGCAACCCCTCCGCTGCTGTGTGAAAGGGCTGATAGTCTGGGTACTCCACTACTCCCTGGTGGCATTTTGGCATCAATACAATCACCAAAAGGTGAGGGTTCTTTTTCAAACCCGTAGTAGTGTATATGCAGACACTTCTGTCCAGGGACAATTATAAACTGGTTTCCAATCAATAACGTTCTTATAACAGTGCAAGTGTTATATCTGTCCACACCCTGAGATTTACAATATTAAGCATGGGAGCAAAGGCTACGGAGTGCTTCTTGGCAGAGATCACAGAGTTAGCACAAAGGCAGTGTAAACCAGCTCTTCTAGATTGTTTCCCTTGGGTGACATACCCTTTAAGACACAGACACGCATGCATGTATTTTACACACATTCAATATAAGCCTGATTTCAGAGAATGCTCAGTTACTACCCTCTAAAATCAAGCCTCAACTCCACAGAAAAACTGAAAAAAATGAATTCAAATCTTTACCAAAAATAACTACAGAAACTTAAAATAAGAATAAATAAATGCTCTTTATATATTAAACATTGCTTTTTTTCTTCTGTCAACACTCACTATAGGGATGGTGGTCTTCCATTGTATAGATTTCTGTCTCATCTCTGTATAGCCTATAGACAAGCTTGTTGGAATTTGGAGAATCAGGTGGGCTCCATGAAAGACAGATAACAGAAGCATTTAGAACCTGTCCCGTAGGTGGAGGTTGTTGGGATGGTGCTAGAGCACAAACAAAGAAACAGAGAAAGATTATTTCCAGAACAAAGGTGATTAATAAACATGCACATATATTGAAATGAAATCTTAAAGAACAAGGTTCCTCTGCTACTAAAAAGAAAAAACACTGTCAAACAGACAATATCAATAAACAATGTTGAACCATCAGATGAACTGTACAACAAAGCTTTTTATCTAGGTACACAAACCAAATTAATGCATCAAAGCAGCCAGCTCAAAGATACTTGGAAATGCCACAGAAGTTAAACATCAATAATACCACAGTTTTCTAAAAATCCCTTGTTCTTTGTGTTTAAGACACTATCTAAAGATGGATTATATTTATGTCCAATATTATTTTAAAGTTTTATTCTAAGTATCTGTTGGGTTTTTTTCAAAAGTGTTATTTCCATTTAGTCAATCCCAATGGCCATATAAATTAATCTAACCAAGTAGAAAGGACAAGTCCATGAGTTAGTCTGTTGAGACATCAAGAGGCCATACTCCCATTGATTTTCCATTGAAATGTGAAATCAACTGGAGTTAGATACGCAAGTACCTTTAAAACTTCAGCCCAAAATGATTTAACATTTGTATGTAACGCAGACTAATCTGGTTGTCATTGGACTTAATTGTGTTCTCTTTTGACACTAGTTGTTATATCCCTAGAATTTTGCCCCTTGTTTCTTTCCAGCACTCAGCATTGATTTTTGATAGTACAGGCCTCTATGAAAAGTGTGCTTAATAGTATTATGGTTTCTTTAGAGTAATTGTAACTATCAAAGGGGCATTATTTTGGAGGAACAATGTTCTAAAACTGGTGACAACAATTAGGAAATTCTGGCATAAAGACTTGAAAGAAGATTGCAGCTGCTGTATCATTCATGTCCAGAAGAGGACTCTGATTGTTATTTAAAATACTACATGAGTTGTTTCTTACAGTTTCACACATAAGTCTATAACATTAGCAATCTAAACCATTTTTAAAAACAGTTGAATTACTATTCACTTTAAAAAAACAGATACTGAAACAATGTGTAGATTATTTTATGTGTCCGAAGTACTCTGTAGATGAAAAGTGCCATACAAGTATGATGTAAGTATATTTTTATACATTCTATTGAAAAAAATAAATTTTAATGTGAAACAATGTGTAACCTAATTCTCATGCAAATAGAGAGGTACTGTATATTCTAAAAGTAGGTTAGAACCAAAATCCAGAACCTGGTCACCTTGAACGTCTAAGAATATTGATCTGTGGGGAAAAAAAGCTGTCTCATTCTGTCCCATTGAAAGTATTATATGTTCTATAATGGCATATAGTTTTAATATTAAATTGCTTTACAGCTCAAACACATATTGGGATCAAAACTCAAACTTGTATATATGTTTATGTACACCCTTTCTGAGTTTGTGTATTTGTGTTTGTATACAACACATAATCACAGAGATATCATGATGATGAAAATAATATAAATGCGTAGGGAGATTATGTAAACTAATACTTTGCAGAAATGTCTCAAATACAAATCCACGTCATAAAAGGAGTTAAGAGATAACTATTAGTATCACTTAAAGTCAGTTTTTTATGTTTGTAGAGTATGTCTGTACTGCTACTAAGGCTCTCCCCCAGGCCTCCTCTGTAGCCGAGCTGAACCCACCTACTCCCTACATGAAAACTCACCCCCTCCAAAGATGTCCAGCAATACCCTGGAAAGTTTCTTGACCATCAGGACATGAAGCCAAACTTCCCCCTAACCTGCTCTGCCCCTGCAGTGTGTTCAGTATTCACCCAAGGTAAGCAAAATGAAAACAGAGGATAGAAGTTTGCCAGCAGCACTTCTGAACCCCACCTGTCACCACTACCTGGAATAAGAGCAAAACAGAGAAGGAGAGAAAAGTATCGGGCATGATTCCTAGAAAGGCTATGTTTCAACTTCTTATACATCTCCAACAAAATCAATCATTTCTCTTCTTTTGTATTTTATGAATGCAGAGCAGCAAGGTATGCAGACATGGAAGGGCAGTTTGTGTAGTTCAGGTAACTATGGGCAACCATTAAGTTCACTCCAAATAGTGAGACATGCTATAGGTATATCTTTAGATTTCTAAGAATGTAAGGCCGTATCTCAACCTTAACAGATCTGGAAACAGCATCCTAAAACACACTGTGTGTTCTGCCTCCTGAACCAGAAGCAATATAGTCATCTACACTACAGAGCGGTGAGTGGCTTAATTAGTAGTGCTGAGTAACAGTGCCAGTTATAGAACATCCTCAGTCTAAATGCAGTGATACTGATTTCAATTGGAGGCAACCCATGCAGGACAGCATGACATGGTACAAGTCACTGTTGCTGTCACAGTAAGTTTGTAGTCAAGCCATGGCCTTTTGAAAATAGGACTTAGCCTTAAACATTTCATTCTACCACTGCTTGTTTTTCCTTTCTCTTATAATTCCCTACTGCTATAGGTTGACCACTGATATCAATAGTGGAATTGCTATTGCAGATAGGCAGCCAGTGTATGCCAGCACAGATATAATCCACCAAACAAAATCGAAAAAGTCATTTTAACTAATCAGGAATCATACAAAGGTTGATGCCTTGCCATCCCAGTCCAGGTTCATTGCAGTTGGAGCAGTGCAGATGTTCAAGTGCAATGTGATTCATATCGATGTCTGACTTAATTGTCAGCATAGCTTTAGCCCACTCTGAACATGCCAATTTATGATGATCTGTTATGACATGTTGCATTTTCACCAATCATGACTGGTGGAGGCCTTGTGAAGTTGGGGATGAAACCATGTTTCGCTATGTGCCTCAGCCCAAATCTAATGGAAGCTGAGGGAGTTCAGTAACTCACAAGACAAGCTCAGTGTTTGATGCAAAACTACAAAGCTCTTTAACTACATCTTTCTAGAAAGGGCGGCTAAGATAGAGGAAAGCTATGGGAAAAAAAACCCCGTAAGAATTTGAAATATGAAAAGATCGTTACTATTACAGAACTAATTTAACATTCACTAAACCAATAAAAGCCAGTAATTTGAAAGACATGTTTCTAAGACCAACATCCACTTACTTTTACTGCAGCCAAATAGGTTGTGGACATCCAAATTACTAGCATTGGGAACACAGTTGTCACATTTCAAGCCAGTTACAAATTGTTTACAAATGCACTGTCCAGTAACGGGATGACAAGTCCCATTAATGACTCCTGCAGGATGACAATTACAATTCTGACATCTATAAACAAAAACAAATCGAGAAAGTAATCAAAACACATTAACACTTCAGTTAGACACAGTATGGTTTTATTTACTGTGTCCTTTTTTCTGATAATTAAGAATCAGAAACAGCCTCATGGAATGAGATGCAGTAGAAAATTTAAATACTAGTATCCATTTAAAAACATAAAATGTACCCTAAAATATTCACAAGTTTGACTTCATGCTATTCAATGCATTTTTAAAATAATCCTTTAAAAAATCTCAGTATTAGATGAAAATTGTTCTAAGAAAATATTTTGGATTTTAAAATGTGTTATTGTAGAATTGATCTATAACAAAGTGCATTTGGTATTTACTAATAAAATGTTATGGCTGGTATTTCAACCCTTATACATTCAACGTACACCTTTATTCATACAGGTAGTACAACTGAAGTAAATTAGATAATATATTTATGTGACCTGCAAAATATATTCCAAGTCTGAGGACACTAGCCTTTTCTTTAAAAAAAAAAAGTTTCTTACCCACAGGTACAACTGGAAGCTTTAAAAATCAAATGTGAAGAGAATAAAAGGAAGAAAGAGACAAAGGGAGGAACAAAGGAAAAGCAGAGAAAGTAAAGGAAAAGGCAAGGAAAAGAAATTGAATGGTTAGGAGGCAGAGCACATATTCTGCCCTAATGTGATACTGATGCTGACCATAAGGCAGTTCGATTAAAAAAAGAGACAATAATTAACAAATCAATTAGTATATAAAGACCACAATCTGACTTCAGTTTCTGTGGAAAGTTTTCACTAGCCTCAGTGGAAAATCCTCTGTGGACTAAGGTCCAGATTCTAATTCATTATACAGCTGGTCCAATAAAAGTTGTTACATAATTTCTGGACCATCATGGCCACAACACCTAGGGACAGACATTACACATAAACCGGTTTAAGTGATCAGAAACTGATTTAGACCTGTAACAGAACATAAGTTCAGTGCACATAAACCAGTTTCAAAATGACTGAAACTGGTTTAAGATAAACCTGGTTGAATGTAGTATGAGACTTAATTGGTCAAACTGGTTTATGCAATGTCTGTCCCAGACCCCTTCCTGATTTAAGTTAAACCAAAGTCCCTCAGCATCCCAGATGCTTTGCAGCCCTGGGCTGGGCTCTCTGCTCCAGAGAACAGGCTGGCCCTGCCCCTCTGCTCCCTAGCCAGACTGTTAGGCACAGCAGGACCTGCCTGGTTTCCTTCACTGTTTGCTGCTCAAGCAGGGATTCCCCGCTCTCTCCCTCCCATCTCCCACAGCACAGACCCCAGCCACACGGACTCTAGGTATGTGGTGTGGCAGAAATGCCACCATCTGTGTCCCTCTCCAGAAATCTCTCTGCCAGCGTGAGAGGCTGGTGTTGAATTCCTCAGGGAGGGGGATCTTCCTCCCTGCCTACATGACAAAAGCCTGGTGCCTCGGATGTGGATTCTCTGGTCACCTGGGAAGGGGGAGGGAAAAGCCCCGCTCACCGGCCCAGGTAGCCAGTGATGCTTTTTAAATTGATTAGTTAGTGGCCAGCACTGGCAGCTTCGATTGGACCGGGCTGCTGAGGTCAGTGAGGTTATTTAAAGGCCCGGTCCAGGAAGAAGGCAGCCATTAGCCATGCAGTCACCCAGGTGAATCTAAAACAGGCTCTCTCCTCATAACTGCATGCTCCAAGAGTGACCTGCCTCCAGAGTCAGCCATACGGGTTTCCTCTGTGGGATCCCACTGATATTCCTATGATACTGCTCTACCTTTTACCCTGTTTTCAACCTACCCCCTGTAATCAATAAAGTTCTCCTTTGTGACCGGTGTGGAGACTTATTGAGGGGTGGGTCTAAATTATGCCGAGGAGGCCCCTTAGGTCTGTGGACTAAGGGAGACTTTCCTATTAAGCCCCTGACTTGGGAAAGTGCCCCAAGTGCCTGTATTGGGTCTAGTACCAAGTGGACGATCAGGCCTGTGTTTTCCAAGGTGTGCAGAGCCAGAATTCAGTCCAGAGCCTTGGATGATGGCAGTGGGAGCCCCAGGCTAGCAGGTGTGCTCCAGGGAAGGGGTCGGCCAGATGTGAGGCACCCCAGGGAGGCACTCGGAGCCTGGAAGGTGGTCAGGCGCAGTGAGGTGGGCAGCTCAAGGCAGGAGCACCCACTACCGGCCCGCCACATGTGGTATGCTAGCTAATGCTGAGAGGTAGCTGTGTGTATATCTCTCCAATTTCACTGGGATAGGACAAAGGCAGACAGAACAGTGTCCGCTTAGGGCTTTTTGGAGCTAATCAACAGGTCAGCTGCTAGCGTCCTTCCATTCATTCCTTGGAAAAAGCTGTTTAAGAAGAGCTTGAACTAATGAAAGTGTTTGTGGGTTTTTTTGTTGATGGGCTGATAAACACTGTGCTATCAGTCCTCTGCTGATTTTATCAGCCCCCTGCTGGTTTGCAGTCCCTTCAGGTTTGCAGACAGTATGGAGAAGCAGGGAGAGATTGAAAAGCTCAGTATCATCAACAGATACATGCACTGCACACCACCCCCTTGCCTCAGAGTGCTAGCCCAGGGCTGGGGTCTGGCAATACTCCTGCCCCTTGAGCAGCGAGCAGGGAAAAGCCTGGGACAGTGCAGGCAGGGTGGGGCTTTACAACCTTCCTTAATTAGAGCATCCTGCTGGGGCCTGGCCACATCCCCCTCAGCTCAGTCCTGTGAAAGGAGAAGGGAGGGCTGCTCTAGCACCCCCTCCCCCGGCATCTAGCATGAGCCACTGAAAACATGTGCCTGCATTTTTTCATTCCAGAGGGAATGTCTGTATGGTTGCAAACTGTTTCAACCTAGGCAGTGTGCGGGCCGGGAGCGATCCAGGCCCTTTTTCGCGCCGCGCGGGCTGTGGCCAGCAGCCTGGGCACGCTGGGTCGGAGAAAACAGGCGACACGCTAGAATTAGTCATGGACGCCTAATGGTTGATTTAAGATTATTTACTTACACCGAAGATGGTCACGGTGCAGGCAGGAAAACTTGCTTGAGTTGCAGTTACAGATAGAAAAGAAGAGAGGCAGACTAGAGTTCCTTCCCGTGAACATTCTTCTAGCCCATCCGGTTGGAGGCTCTAAACCGCGAGCCCGTCGCGCCAAC